CTCGCCCTGGGGAAACCCACGCGAACTGCTTTGAGTGTCAGGGTCGCGGACATCCGGCACGTGTCTGCCCCAGCAAAAGGGAATGCAGCTGACGTCCGGGGGAAATCTGCAAGAAGTGTGGCGGTGTGGGACACTATGCGCGGAACTGTCCTACACACGACCGAGGCCGTGCCGAGCCGGAAAACAAGAGCAGGAGGCAACCTATCCGTCCCAGCACTGAGAAGACCGAACGTTTAAACCGCGAGGCCTAGGCGTGGTAGGAGACGAGCGTTTTAGGCCGCGTAGCCATGGCAAAGGGATGATGTGTGCGGTAGCGACAGGCCCTAATGCCATTCCAGTCTCCCTTGAGTTGGGAAACCAACTCCTCCGCACTGCGGGAGGAGCTTATAAGAGCGATGGGCGCGCGGAAGGGAGTCAGCCGTTTTCGGATACGCGGCGGGAGTCTGGGTCAGCGTCGATCCTGAGTGGAGAGACTGCGGACGCGACGACAGATAGCAGCAGGAAGTCTGCAGAGGCAACAGAAGACGGCTATAGGTCAGACGCAACAGAGATTGTGCCACACTGGTGGAGGGAGACTTGCACGAAAGAGTCTTACGATAAAGGGGGAGCGTTGTGTTGTGCGGGTGCGACGGCGGTACTTCGCGTTGTGCTTGTAGGGAGTCCTTATGAGGCCCTCTTGGACACTGGGGCTTCGAGAAGTTTCATTAATCCTAAAATAGTCGAACGACTGCAGCTGAAAGTGCGGAGACTTCCAAAAGAACATAGGTTCACCATAGCTACAGGTGCACAACTACGCATTGATCGGGTTGTGACGGGATTGACGCTGTGGTGCGGACATACACGTTTTTCCGGGGACTTTTTAGTGGGATCCGTTCCCTACGGCTTAGTCTTGGGTTTGGATTGGCTGACGGAACACAAGGTGGCCTGGTATTTCCAGTCTGACAAACTCCGAACCTACGTGAATGGCCAGTGGTCCGAGTTACCGGTCGTTCGGACTGGTGAAACAACGCTGCAACGTGATAGTCCCACCGTAGTCCACCCAAGGACCCCAGCAGAGCAAGCATACGAGATATTGGCCAAACAAGTGGCGGGGATGTCAGCGGGGGGGGCAGCTATATTCCTACGCCCCCCTCCCAGGGGGGATAAG